ATGGAGCTTTTATTCCCAGTCATCTGGATGTTGGTGCACGAAGATTTACAGTTATATACCAATTCAGTGAGATTCCAACAAAAATCAGCATGTTTGTCAAAGTGAAGCAGCCCCATAATTTAAAAATAAAACCCAACTTTGTCCTGTCAGGGGACAAAAAGCCCGTCCGGTCGGACCTTTAATGTCACAGTTGAGATTCTGTGTCATGCAGCAGATTAAAACCTCATCAACTCAAAACTAGTGAACAAAAGATTCAGTTAAAGGAGCTTCAGCCTCCTCCCACACCTGCCCCAGCTTCTCCACTGGAGGTTCTGGGGGTCCAGCGAGCCCCGAGCAGGCTGTGACGCGGCCTTTACCTCACGCATCACAGAAGATTCCTCCTGCCCGCCGCCTTTAGTTTCAAGATAAAGAAAACAGACAAAAAGACAACTGGAAAATATTTAGGACCCGGATCTTAAGTGCTGAGGGTCTTCCTGTGACCTTTGACCCCACTGAAACCCAGTTTCCTGTGAGGGAACGTTCTATGGAAGTCCACCTAATTTTAGTTCAGCCTGAAATAAACAAGCCTGAGATTTTTACCTGTATCTGATCTAAAATCATAAAACTTTATTAAATAAAGGAATGTATTCTGTTGCAGGATGTTTGTTTTTATTTCCAAGTATTGTACAGATCACAGCTGATCGATAATCCATCGTTGAATCAAAACAATTTCTAATCGGAATCTGGCGTCCTTGAGCCAGCAAGGCTCCAACGAAAACTCCCCCTTCAGAAGATATGTGGAATGTGCCGTCGCTATGGCAACTCAACTCTGTCTCCTTTCCCAGCCTGGGCGGGACTGCGGGAAGGCCGCTGAAACGTTCCAGGGTCACTGCAACCCTCCAACCCTCAATGCTCCTCCCCCTATCCACACTGAGGTGACATGCGCTGCTTATCGTGGCTGCAGGAACTGAAGTAGGGATAGTCCCAACCCACCACCCCCACCTAGTGGACACTTATGTTGTGTGATGTCTGAAGTCTGTTGCATATCTGTCTGAGGTGTTTTTTTGCAGAGCAAAGCTGCCCTCCTGGTGGGAGGGTAGCTCTGAAGTGTCTTTTTTTCCCTCCACCTGAACCAATCCTCATGTAACCCTCTGATCTCTATTAAGGTAGCGCAACTCAGGGTTGCGAATGACCACAGTCACCAATTCTTGTCATGTGTCTTTGCCCATGTTTGTCTGATCTCTGAATTGTGTGTACTGAAACTCTTAATTTCCCTCTGGGATTAATAAAGTATCTTTGATTTGATTGAAAAGTTTCTTATAAATTATGTTGCCAGAGAACTTGTTCGACTTCCCTTCTATACACAAGGTCTCTCTAAACATATTTATCAAACCATTTCTCATTCATAATAGCTTATAATTAAAAATAAAGGCGTCAGAAGCTTTTTCTGGTTTTGAAGCAGATGTGGGACGAAAACGTGCTTCAGCTGAGTTTTGACGCCCCCGTCGTTAAAATGAAACCCATTACATTATTTACACACCATTACATGTACTCTTTCTACTCACCTAGAAAGACAAACTGATCATTTAAACACAGATTCAACTAAATTATTTTCTTTTAAAAAAGAAGTACATTTTACATGAATAAAGAATTTATGTCATTTCTTGATACTTCATCATGTGTATTTTTTTGTTAACAGCAACACAACTCTATCACTGTCTCCATTTACTCTGCAACGTTGATGGTCTATCTCCACAAATAACACAAGTCTCAAGGAGTTCTGCTGTGTGGTGGAAATGAAATTGCTAATGCTAACGGTTAGCTTGTACAAGCTGAGACGCTGTCTGCTGTTTCCTGGACACTAAAGAAACAACAGCCTTCCCCATCATGAGTCAAGATGGTTTTCCATGAATATTAAGACACAGTGTGACGTAGACCTGTCAGGATTTTCTGAACTGAGCATTTTTACGTCTATTTCTATCAGAAGCTAATGCAGAGATATGGGGACTATTTTCACATTCATCCTGGATGTAAACTGAACATTTTCAAAAATAAGTAAAAAATGTTTTTGTTCTGCTTATTCAATTCAGATTCATTATATAGAATGTATAGTAAATTCCTCCCCACCTTAATTAAAGACTATTTATTAATTAATTTTTTTTAGGGTTTTAATTTAAAGACCTCTTATGATGAATTATATAAATGGAAACCGTGTTCCCTCGCCTGGACGTGGGTCACCGGGGCCCCCTCTGGAGCCAGTTCTGGAGGTGGGGCACGTTGGCGAGCGCCTGGTGGCCGGGCTTTCACCCATGGAGCCTGGCCGGGCATAGCCCGAAGAAGAAACGTGGGTCCCCCTTTCCCTGGGCTCACCACTCGTGGGAGGGGCCAAAGAGGTCGGGTGCAGTGTGTGACGGGTGGTAGTCGAGGGCGTGGACCTTGACGGTCTGATCCTCGGCTACAGAAGCTGGCTCTTGGCACATGGAATGTCACCTCTCTGGTGGGGAAGGAGCCCGAGTTGGTGTGTGAGGTTGAGAGGTTCCGACTAGATATAGTCGGACTCACCTCAACGTATGGCTCTGGCTCTGGAACCAGTTTCCTTGAGAGGGGTTGGACTTTCTACCACTCTGGAGTTGCTCCCACTGAGAGGCGCCGAGCAGGGGTGGGCATACTAGTTGCCCCCCATCTTGGTGCCTGTACACTGGGGTTTACCCCGGTGAATGAGAGGGTAGCCTCCCTCCGCCTACGTGTGGGGGGACGGGTTCTGAGTGTGGTCTGTGCTTATGCACCAAACGACTACCCACCCTTTTTGGAGACCTTGGAGGAGGTGCTGGAAAGCGCTCCTTCCGGTGACTCCCTCGTTCTGCTGGGGGACTTTAACGCTCACGTGGGCAACGACAGTGAGACCTGGAGAGGTGTGGTTGGGAGGAACGGCCCCCCCGATCTGAATTCGAGTGGTGTTTTGTTATTGGACTTCTGTGCCAGTCATGAATTGTCCATAATGAGCATCATGTTCAGACATAAAGGTGTCCATATGTGCTCTTGGCACCAGGATACCTTAGGTCGCAGCTCGATGATCAACTTTGTTGTTGTTTCATCTGACCTACGGCCGCATGTCTTGGACACTAAGGTGAAGAGAGGGGCGGAGCTGTCAACTGACCACTACCTGGTGGTGAGTTGGCTCAGATGGTGGGGGAGGATGCCGGTCAGACCAGGCAGGCCCAAACGTATCACGAGAGTCTGCTGGGAACGTCTGGCAGAGTCTCCTGTCAGAAAGAGGTTCAATTCCCACCTCCGACAGACCTTAGCAGTGTGCTACCAACACTATCTACAGTGGGGATGGTGTGCTGCTGACCTCTACTCAGGACGTTGTGGATTGGTGGGCAGAATACTTTGAAGACCTCCTCAATCCCACCGACACGTCTTCCAGTGAGGAAGCAGAGTCTGGGGACTTTGGGTTGGCCTCTCAAATCTCTGGTGCTGAGGTCACTGAGGTGGTTAAAAAGCTCCTCTGTGGCAAGGCTCCAGCGGTGGATGAGATCTGCCCGGAGTTCCTTAAGGCTCTGGATGTTGTGGGGCTGTGTTGACTGACGCAGCTCTGCAATATCGCGTGGACATCGGGGCAGTCCCACTGGACTGGCAGACAGGGGTGGTGGTCCCCTTATTTAAAAAGGGGGACCGCAGGGTGTGTTCCAACAACAAGGGGATCACACTCCTGAGCCTTCATGGTAAGGTCTATTCAGGGGTTCTGGAGAGGAGGGTCCATCGGATTGTTGAACCTCAGATTCAGGAGGAGCAATTTGGTTTTCATCCTGGCCGTGGAACACTGGACCAGCTCTATACCCTTAGGGGATCCTGGAGGGTGTGTGGGAATTTGCCCAACCAGTCTACATGTGTTTTGTGGATTTGGAGAAGTTGACCGCGTCCCTCGGGGGGGCCCTGTGGGGGGTACTCAGGGAGTATGGGGTACCAGGCCCTCTGATACGGGCTGTTAGGTCCCTGTATGACCGGTGTCAGAGCTTGGTCTGCATTGCCGGCAGTAAGTCGGGCTCGTTCCCAGTGAGAGTTGGACTCCGCCAAGGCTGCCCTTTATCACCGATTCTGTTCATAACCTTTATGGACAGGATTTCTAGGCGCAGCCAAGGTGTGGAGGGCATCCGTTTTGGTGAGGATCAAGTCTCTGCTTTTAGCAGATGACATTGTCCTGTTGGCCTCATCGGAACGAGATCTTCAGCTTTCGCTGGAGCGGTTCGCAGCCGAAAGTGAAGCAGCTCTGAGACAATGGTCTTGATTCGGAAAAGGGTAGAATGCCTTCTCCGGATCAGGGATGAGTTCCTGCCCCAAGTGGAGGAGTTTAAGTATCTCGTGGTCTTGCTCACGAGTGAGGGAAAACTGGAGCATGAGATCGATAGGCAGATTGGTGCTGCATCTGCAGTGATGTAGGCGTTGTACCGGTCTGTCGTGGTGAAGAGAGAGCTGAGTCAGAAGGCGAAGCTCTCGATTTACCGGTCGATCTACGTTCCTACCCTCACCTATGGTATGGTAGTGACCGAAAGAACGATATCGCGGATACAAGCGGCCGAAATGATTTTTCTCCGAAGAGTGGCTGGGCTCTCCCTTAGAGATTGGGTGAGAACCTCGGTCATTCGGGAGGGGCTCGGAGTAGACCCGCTGCTCCTCCACATCGAGAGGAGCCAGTTGAGGTGGCTCAGGCATCTGGTCAGGATGCCTCCTGGACGCCTCCCTGGTGAGGTTTTCCGGGCACGTCCAACCGGGAGGAGACCTAAAGATAGACCCAGGACATGGTGGAGGGACTATGTCTCTCACCTGGCCAGGGAACGCCTTGAGATTCCCCCGGAGGAGCTGGCCCAAGTGGCTGGGGAGAGGGAAGTCTGGGCCTCTCACCTTAGGCTACTGTCCCCGCGACCAGACTCTGGATATGTGGATGAAAATGGATGGATGGATGGCAAATAAATGTTCTCAGATTCCAGAAAAACTTAAAGTAAAAAACAACAACTTGGAGCTCATTTAATTAAATCTTTTATGAAAATTTTACAGTGTAAATTCACCACCTTAAACATGACATTTAAAGCTTATCACAAACACTTTGATTTCTAACTAAATCCTGATGATGGTCTCAACATCAAATCAATGATCATGAGATGAAAGTTGAAGGAACGTGATAAAAATCACAGGAACCTTGTTAGAAAAACGGGTTTAAACTAGTTTTTATGTTCCAGATGTTTCTCTGCTCCAACACTTTAAGTTCTGCAGAAGTTTGTTTATAAACCACTGATTCAGTTCAGGTCTTTTGTATGAAGCACCAATTGTTAAATTATATGTAGATTTTTTTTAAGATTACTATATATAAATTAATATGTATGATACATATTACACATAGTACACATAGCACAGACGCTTCCCTCTTTTGCTCCCTTATCTTTTTTTTCCCCAAGGCTCTTTGTCCTGTCTGTCCACAGAGCCCTTCTCTGCATTTCTTCTGAAAAACTCTATTTTTTTTACTAACCATGGATTTGATAAATTGGTCATTCAATGTGATCGATAAGATTTTTTCAGCAATGAGAACGGAGCAGGGGGCTCCCACATGTCCACAGGGGACACACCCAGTGGGATATATGTTGGATTCCTGGAAGGAGTGGAAGATCATATGCCTCTCTCAGCTGTCCATTGAGGACATCGAAGACGTGTGGATATTTGGTCTGATGATCACTGGATTTCTCCTGATTGGAGTGGGAGGATATCTGGTTTTCTGGAAATTTGGGAAGACGGGAGCGCAAAATTTATGTCATCTCGGAGAGAGTCACCGGACAGTATGGACAAGCTTAAAAACCCAAAATTGGCTTCACTGAAGGACTGGAGTGATCAGTTTAAAGACTGAAGGCAGAGAGGAAAATTATCTCAGCCTGACCCAAACAAATTCTTGTTATCTGAATCTGACGACCTGGTAGCCTTGAGCTGCAAGTAACTAAAACCCCACAAAGGAATGCAGACTGATGCTGTGAAAACCTGTGGAATGTGTTGTCGCTATGGCAACTCAACTCTGTCTCCTTTCCCAGCCTGGGCGGGACTGGGAAGGCCGCTGAAACGTTCCAAGGTCACTGCAACCCTCCAACTCTCAATGCTCCTCCCCCTATCCACACTGAGGTGACATGCGCTGCTTATCGTGGCTGCAGGAACTGAAGTAGGGATAGTCTCAACCCACCACCCCACCTAGTGGACACTTATGTTGTGTGTTGTCTGAAGTCTGTTGCAAATCTGTCTGAGGTGTTTTTTTGCAGAGCAAAGCTGCCCTCCCTGTGGAGGGTAACTCTGAAGTGCCTTTTTTCCCTCCACCTGACTCAATCCTCATATATAAAACCTTCTGATCTCTTTTCAGGTAGTGCGACTCGGGTTGCGAATGACCACAGTCACCAATTCTTGTCATGTGTCTTGCCCATGTATGTCTGATCTCTGAATTGTGTGTACTGAAGCTCTAATTTCCCTCTGGGATTAATAAAGTATTGATTGATTGATAATTTAAGTTAAGTGAAACCTGACTTATTTTAAATAAATTAAGTTTCACTTATCTTTAGTCCAATATTTTTAAATCTGTATATTTGGAAGCAAAAGTTTTGATCTAAAACTTGAAATCTAAAGATAAAAGGCCTGAAACTAATTTGTTTAGCTAACATACAAATTAACATAAGATGCCGAAAAATGAAATTTGCCAAAACCAAAGTTCTAAGATTTTAAAGTCTCTTTGATGGCATGACATTCTGAGTATTTATTCATATAATCCATACAAATCCAGATATTCTAAGCCTGTATTTGTTATAACTGTGATGATTATGGTTTACAGCTTATGAAAATCCTAAATTCAAAATCTCACACAATTAGAATATTGTGAAAAGTTTTAATATTCTAGACTCAAAGTGTCACACTCTAATCAGCTAATGAATCCAAAACACCTGCAAAAGGTTCCTGAGCCTTTAGATGGTCTTTCAGTCTAAGCTGGATTTCTGAACTAAAAGAAATTTGCACGTCATTCAAATTTTTCGAGTTTCTGTGCCTGATGTGAGGAATTGTTCCACCGTGCTTTTATTTTGGTATGTTACTTCCGTACTACTGCAGTCCGAATTTGCATGTTAACTACACATTTTGTTTAAACCTTATATATATATATATATATATATATATATATATATATATATATATATATATATATATATTCAGCATTTGGTTGAAACTTAGTGATTTATTTTTAGAATGACCATGATATGAATATAGTTAAAACTTAATTACTCTTCATTTGAAATGTTTAAAATGAACTTAAAATTTTTAAGATGTTAATGTAAATGTTTAAATTGGGTTTTAAATTCAAGTAAATTCTAACAACTCAGATTTAACTTTATATATTTAGTTTTGATGTAAGATACCCAGTTAGGTTATTTAGATTTGACTAAATAGTTTAAAATTGCCACAAACAATTGCAACATTTGGATGTGACTTTGTTAATGTATTTTTTCTTCTAAATATTTAAGTTTAAAGTTTAACCTTTAGATTTTACAATAACAACAGCAACAACAACAACAATAATAATAATAATAATAATAATGATGATGATGATGATGATATAATAATAATGACTTAATACAGTTAATCTAAATATTTAGTATATTTTGACATTTTGATTTGTTTCTTAATATTTATTGTGACATAATTTTTTTTTATTCAGGCTTAAACATTGACAAATAACACCAAAAATGGTTAAATGTGGTAAAAAAAAGTACTTTAAACATTTTGAAAATCTAAATGTGATAAGAGTGTAGCTGTAATTTTTAAAAGGTATTACCTTCCAATTGGCACAATGGCATCCCACACATCTGGAGCAAAGAAACATCTAAAATACGAAGTATGGTGGCCCCCGAGGACCAAGATCATACACAGCTGCTCTAAATGTTCATTCTGTTGAGAAGACAAAAAGAATCAGCAGAAAACACCAGATGGCTGAAGATGAACCAATCTGAGGTGAACAGGACTGGAAACATGTTGGAAAAGATTCACATCTGTCTTTAGACGTTCCGTCTCATGCCAGCAGAGGGCAGCATCCACCCACCAACTACTGCCCAGTTCTCATGGAGCTCCTCTGACTTTGATCATATTTTACAGCAGATTAGAGTCTTGGTAACAGCAGCAGGTCTATAAAATCTCCCCTCATCATGGTAATCCAGCTGAAGTTCCTCCTAAGCAGAAATTCTCCAAAACAGATTCAGAGATCAGACTCTGATGATGTTGATGGAGGAGGAGGCTCGGTGCAGCTGCAAGAGAAGAAGATAAGCAGACAGGAATATAATTCAAAGGCTTCAGGAGGCAAATGTGACTTGGTGTAAAATCCCAGCCAGGGCTTCATTTATTTAGAGACAGAAACTGTGTTTTTACTCATTTAAACAAACAAAATTTTAAAGGAGTAAAAAGAAAAAAATTAAATCTCCCAGTAGTCTAATGATCAGCGTTCTCCAATAACAATCAGCCTTTTTATTTCTTAAGGTCTCTACAATGGAGTCACAAGAAACATTTAAAAACATCCTAAAACTGCCTCTTTATTTTTGTTTTCATATTTAACATCTGAAAAACCAGAACTTCATTCAAAACATCTCCTGTCAATGTAGTCAGAGATGTTTGCAATCATAATTTCAAATAAAAACTTATTATTTGGGATATAATGTACCAATTTAATAATGTTATTCAAATCGTGGAAGAAAAACGGTAAATATGAAAACAGGTTTAAAGGAAGACATCAAAACCAGCAAACATTTAAGCAACGCCACAATAAGAATCTGACTCTGTTCGAAGAAGAAGTTTCCCCGAGAAGAACCAAAATTTGGACCATCGCAACTGTCCAATTACTAATCCAGAGCTCACATTTTAAGGAGGATGCAGATGATGATTTGTGCCAGTAGGCGGCAGATTGGAGCTGTTTAACACACACACACACACACACACACACACACATATATATATATATATATATATATATACACACCAGTGTTGGGAGTAATGCGGTACAAAAGTAATTAACTACTGTAATGCATTGCTTTTTGCTGTAATGTGGTAATGTAAGGCATTACAGGGAATAAAAATGGTAATATTTACTCGGTACAATTGTCAGTAACGCGGTAATTACAACGCATTTTTAAACCCAGAATCAAGATGTGGGTTTCCTAAAAATTCAAATTGCGGGAAGCCTGAAAAAAGATCCAGTATCCACATATATGACGTCATTTATGGACTCAGCTTTGCGGGCATTCTATGAGCGGAGAGGACGCAGCGGTGATGGCTCAAATACTCCAGCTGCGTCCTGCACGCGGCCGCCGTTATAATCACAAAATCGCTCCACCAAATCAAAGTCATTCGTTTGCGATTGTTTATATCAGCTCATATTCTCTGGTACTTCATGTACTTTTCAGCTGAGTTCATAATCTGTGCCCCGGTGATTTAGCTGGAGTGCAGCGCATGTTAAGCTGTTTTTGCGTTCGGTAGATCCCTTTGGCTGATTAGTTAGAAAGTAGGAAATCTAGGAAACAGTTTTTCTGGAAGACGGAGAAAACATGCAGCATGCAGGGAGGTTAGAGAGAGAAAGGGCAGGAAGTTATTCAAAATCAAGAAAACAAAACAAAGTGCTTGAAAAGAAAAAAAGTAGGTAGATTTATCCCCAATACACATTTTTACCAGTGAAAAGCAATAATATATAAGCATTTAATATTTATACATGTGATAGAATCAGATCACCCCAGAAGTCAGTCCCACATCCAGGGCCGTATCAAGGCATTTGGGGACCAAGGCAAATATAGGCTTGGAGCCCCCACCACCTCACTCCCTGTTCAGTTAATATAAGATGGCAGCGTGCTGAGAGTACAGATTGTTGTTGCTTTCATTTAATAAACAATAATTTTAAAGCACTGTTATTATATCTGACTGTTTTTAACAGCAATCCTAGCTCAGACACCACATCACCTTCCACATATATGTCATGAGCTCACAGAGCGTCACATGACCAGATTCATATTGAAGTTGTTTTGGTGAAAGTAACTTAAAGTAATGCAAAAGTAGTGTAATGCCTTACATTTTAAAATCAGTAGCATTGTAATGTAATGAATTACTTTAAAATGAGGGTAACAAGTAATAAACAATGCATTACAGTTTTGAAGTAACTTGCCCAACACTGATACACACACACACACACACATTATATATATATATATATATATATATATATATATATATATATATATATATATATATATATACACACACACACACTAGGGGTGGGCGGTATAAACGGTATACGGTAGAAATGATATTAATTTGGCCAACGGTAGAGATTTTGACTCTATCGGCCTATCGCGGTAGCGCATGTTGATGATGTCATCAAGCGACATCTGTTGAGGCTGAAAGCATGGAGCCTGTGGTGGAGGAGGAGGAGGAGGTTCTCGTAAAGAAGACCGGTGCAACATCGGTCCTTTGGACTTGGTTTGGCTTTAAGGAGTCGGATGTGGAGCAGAACAATATAATCTGCAAAGTATGCCGGAAGAAAGTATTAGCGAATAGAGGGAATACATCTAATTTGTTTTACCACGTCAAAACGAAGCATGTTGTGGAATACGAAGAAAGCCAAAAACTGCGTCCTCAACAAACGCCCAGTCAGTCGAGCGGTAAGAAAAAAGGTGGTCTTACACACCAGCAGACGGATATTTTACAAGCATTAGCTAAAGGCACTCAGTATGAGAGAAATAATAAACGGTGGATTGATCTTACAAATGGCATTACCACGTACCTGTGGAAGGACATGGTGCCGTTTCTTACAGTGGAGAAAAGCGGCTTTCGGGACATGATTAAGACACTCGATCCACGTTACTGCTGCAATGTATCTGGTATGTGAGTATGTTTAGAAACAGTCGTTTTTGACATATATACAAAAGAAAGTCATATATCGCAATATATACCGTTACCGCTTTTCATTACATTTTTCAAATTATATCGCAATATAGAATTTAGGCTATATCGCCCACCCCTAATATATATATATATATATATATATATATATATATATATATATATATATATACACACACACACACACACACACACACACACACACACACATACATACATACATACATCTCAGACACATAACTATCCAAAGTAGTTTTCTACTTGCTCGAGCAGACTGCTATAAAGGACGGGGAGACACTACAGGAGCCTAGAGGTCCAAGCAGGAAGCCAGCATGAAATCATATTTTTTTTCCAAAGGGAGTTGAAGATTGGAAAAGAACTGTATGGAAAAATACTAAATATCAATGGACACTAACATGCGGGGGTCACATTTATGCAATACCACCTGTGTGATTTGCTTTTGCATGCTTGCAAAGCGTAATTTGACAGAATACGTTTAGTGATGATTTTTTGTCTTTATTGTGACCCTGGGTCCACGCTGGGGCAACGGAAAGTCGTTGCTTCAAAAATCATTCATTATGGACCATGGATTGATCCAAAATGGTCGCAGCATGGAAGTCTTCAGGCAGCGGCGCGGAAAGCCACTGACTGAAATACGGTTTTGTTCTATTTTTTGTGCGAGCTGCTTCCGGGATGTGTCAATTTTCGCAATTAACATAGGGCTAGGCAGGAAATCACACAAGGAATCAGTGTAAAACATCAGTAACTTTCAAAATAAAAGTCTATTGCAGATATGCAATATTTCATCTATGCAGATAACATCTACACGCGTGACCTCACGGCTTATTTACTACCAGTATCATTCGAGAAGTGCAACGGTGTGTTTTTTTTTCTTGGACATGACCTCATGAAAGCATGAAAGTCTGCTGTTTTATTAGTAACTTCTCAGAAGGTTCACTTCCTGTTACCTAGATTTGAGGGATCAATTGGAACAAAAGAGGATGAGAAGATAGAGATGGGGTTATAGGGGATGTTATAGTTGTTTCCCTGCTCTAACACACCTGCAGCAGCAGGTGATTAACAGGCTTCTGCAGGGCTTGATGAGCTGCTGAACAGGTGATCCAACGACTGTGTTGGGGTAGAGGAAGAATGAAAACAGGCTGGATACCAGGACTGAGAACTCCTGTTAAAGAGAGAATTTGCTCTCTGAGAACAGATCTGTCCAGGAGGGGGCGCTTCAGTCTTGGACGCTGCTTTGAACGTAAAAACTTCTGTGTCCAGAATGTTTGTTTTAACACGGCACGAGTCTTTGTTCATCTCAGTTTTCATGTATTTTACCATGTGCTTCATTGTGTGTTTTGATTTTTAATTCAATTTGAATTCAGTGAAGCACTTTGGTCGGGTTTATACTGTCGTAAGGCGCTCTGCAAATACAGTAAGCTTGGCTTGTTTTATATTTAGCCATGTTGGCAGCAGCCATGGTTGCTAGGAGACCTCAGAGGACACAGAATGATTCTGTCATCCAGAAAAGGCATGAATTATAGAAGAAGACAAGAATGTTGTGGCTCACCCTGCTGCTGCGGACGGCGCCGTTGTGGTAGAGCGGTGAGCTGCCGGCCGACGCGTTGTAGTAGGACGAGCTGGATCGGACCAGCGGCCTCTTGGCTTTCTCCTTGGCGCCGTTGGAATCGTTGTCTTTGATGATGTCGTACTGCCGGCAGAAGAGGGCGATGACGGCTGGCGGCACACAGTGGGGGTTACGAGACGAGAACACGGAGCGTTGGGATGTTGGAAGAGGTGACGGGACTCACCTGCCCACAGCAGCAGCACCGTGGTGATGATGAGCAGCTCTCCTGTCTGCAGGTGAGTAGTCATACCTAAGCCCTCCATCGCTGGTTCGTCTGTGGACACGCGCAGCGCTGATGAGCTGCACTAAAACTCTTGCAATAAATAATCAGAAATAGGAAGATAAAGACCCCCCCCGGTTTATTTTATCCCCCGGTGATCACTAACTGGTGGCCCTCAGGCCTCATCTGGCCTGTAAATAAATTACAGATGATTTGTTGCAGCAACCCAAAGGAGCACAGATCAATCAATGGTTGATTTACTATTTGCCACATCAACGCGAGCTGTGGCAAGGTTTGCTGTGTCTGTCTGTGTAGCGTCCAGAGCATGGAGGTGCTACCAGGAGACAGGTCCCAGGAGATGTGGAGAAGGCCATAGGAGGGCAACAACCCAGCAGCAGGACCACTACCTCCACGTTTGTGCAAAGAGGAGCAGGAGGAGCACTGTCAGAACCCTGCAGAATGACCTTCATTGTTCACAAATGTGCATGCGTCTGTTCAAACAGTCATACACAGCACATGTGACAAAAGTGACAGAGTCTGGAGAACGTTCTGCTGCCTGCAACACCCTCCAGCTTGACTGGTTTGGCAGTGGGTGGCTGCACAGCCTCCGTGTGCTCACCAGAGCTAGCCTGATTGCCATGAGGTACCGAGGTGAGAACCTCAGACCCCTTGTGAGAACATGTGCTGGTGCAGTTGGTCCTGCGCCCCTCCTAATACGCAATGCTAGATCCCATGTGGCTGGAGTGTGTCAGCAGTTAGTGAGAAGACAAAGGCATTGATGCTATGGACTGGCCTGCCCATTACCCAGACCTGAATCCAGCTGAGCACATCTGGACATCACCCCCCCCCCCCCCCCCCCCCTCCCCCCCCAGCCACCAACGCCATGTTACACCACAGACTGCCCAGGAGTTTGTGGATGCTTTTGTCCAGGTCTGGGAGGAGATCCCTAAGGAGACCATCCGCCGCCTCGTCAGGAGCATGCCCAGGTGTTGTATGGAGGCCACACACACTTCTGAGCCTCAGTTTGACTTGTTTTAAAGGGACTTTACGGACTTTTGAATTTTTATGCTCGTGATTGCCCCATCAGGCCAAAAGCGTAATGACAGCTTCAATAGTAGGCTCGTGCACAAGGTGCGCATGCTGTACGTGCACACTCCTTAACAAAAATAACAGCTGAGACAGCCCTGTGTGTGTGTGTGTGTGTGTGTGTGTGTGGCCCAGAGGACAGAGGACAGGAGAACGTGCAGCTAATTAATTAAATAATTTGGTTCTGTACCTTTCTCTTCAGCACAGCCGACAAAGGTTTATGATGGGTCAGTCCTCCTGCATGCTCAGATCATTCCCTTCCCTTACTTGAAAAATTGTTCCAAAATGAAAGTTGAACCCACGTCTTTTTTATCTGTGAATTCAATGCCGTTCGGCAAGTCTCACATAAAAATTTGGGCATCTTACTGCAAAAAATATACCATTAATGTAAAAAAGAAACTCTAAATAAACTATGTTCACATCCAGAATCAAACCCAGGTCTCCTGCATGAGAGTCAGACATCTTACTAGGTGAGCTACACTCTAGTAACATTCACAGTATCTGTAACATTTATATCCTTGATGACAGCTGAAACAACGTTCAAAGAACAGTTCGGAGCGAAAATGGCTATTTTGTTGCTAATCTGCAGGAAATATCTAGAAGAAAGTTCTACAGAAAGTAGCTAAGGGTCCTCAGAAATGTAGCTAGCTTTGTCACTAGGCGGTAGGAACAGCGACAAAGTGGCACTGCCTCTCTCTCTGCTGCTAAAGCTACGGATAGCAAATGCTACGGGCGATGTCTGAGCGTGAACGCGCATGAAGCAGCCTGCTCGACCCGAGCATCTCTCTTTTTCTGTGATTTTACAGAAAAACAGGCAATCACAGTAAAAATGCCAGGGCTCATTCTACAGGACCAGGGCATTGCAGGAGAATGCATGAAGAACACATTTATTATTTCTACACGTTTTGGCTGTCAAACTTCCATAATGTCCCTTTAAGTACATTACATCAGAGTTAGATAGCCTGTAGTGTGTCTTCACACTTTCATTTTGAATGTGGCTTCAAGTCCAAATCCAGACCTCCAAGGGCTGTAAATTTGATTTCCATTGATATTTGTTGATTGTGTTGTCAGCGCGTTCCGCTAAAGAACAAAGTGTTTAATAAAGATATTTGACTGATTCAGATCTAGGATGTTCGTTGTATTTTTGAGCTGTGTACTTACCAAATGCCTCACTGTCAAAGTTGTAATGCTGAGAATGAAGTCAACAGGTTGCGACATTTCACCGTTGAAAGAAATTATAAAATATCAACAATGAAGAAAAGGTGAAGAAAAAAGGCTAAACATTGAGAATGAGGCCTAAATAAACTCAAAATGTTGATTGAAAAAAAGGAAAGAGATTGCTGTGAGGAAATATAAAATGTTGAGATAAAAAAAATCATAAAAAAAGATGAGGGTGAGTACGTCTGTGGGAGAAACGACAAATATGCTTCAGGACTGTGTGAACCATCCAATGGAGGCGAGGGAGGAAAGGGGATGTGACGCACTCGGAACATTAAATAGTCTCGTCGTCGTCTTCCTCCGCTTATCCGGGTCGCGGGGGCAGCATCCCAACTACGGAGCTCCAGACCGTCCTCTCCCCGGCCACCTCCACCAGCTCCTCCGGCAGTACCCCAAGGCGTTCCCGGACCAGATTGGAGATGTAACCTCTCCAACGTGTCCTGGGTCGACCCGGGGGCCTCCTGCCGGCAGGACATGCCCAAAACACCTCCCCAGGGAGGCATCCAGGAGGCATCCTGACCAGATGGCCAAACCACCTCAACTGACTCCTTTCGATCCGGAGGAGCAGCGGTTCTACTTCGAGCCCCTCCCGAATGTCCGAGCTCCTCACCCTATCTCTAAGGCTGAGCCCGGCCACCCTACGGAGGAAACTCATTTCGGCCGCTTGTATCCGCAATCTCGTTCTTTCGGTCATTACCCAAAGCTCGTGACCATAGGTGAGGATTGGGACGTAGATCGACCGGTAAATCGAGAGCCTGGCTTTCTGGCTCAGCTCCCTCTTCACCACGACAGATCGGCTCAGCGTCCACATCACTGCAGACGCCGAACCGATCCGCCTGTCGATCTCCCGATCCCTCCTACCCTCACTCGTGAACAAGACCCCGAGATACTTAAACTCCTCCACTTGAGGTAGGACCTCTCTCCCGAGTCCCGATCCAGAGTTGGCAAGCCACCTTTTTCCGGTCGAAAAATAGTACTCAGTATAAATGCTGAGTGTGTTTGTGTGTATTTACGGTGGTCCAGGACTCTGGCTGGATACTGGTCGGTTCTCTCCAGAGTTCTGAAGTGGACGGGTCGACTGGGCTGGCTGTCATCGTGCAGACCGACGGACTGCACCTACAGAAGATAAGAAAACAAGGTTTAGAGGAGAGATAGGAGCATTTATTTAAAAAGGAAGAATGACTGAGGATGGTGTTGTGTAAGGAGGGTAAACTCATTAGACAAAAGGTTCTCTGGTCTGGTTCCAGGATCCTTTTGGAGGACACAGCTGCTCTGTCACTGTGACAGAGTAGAAATACGAGCTGGAGCGCATTTTATTTAGCCAAATAACCCCCAAATAAATAAACAAATAAACAATCAAGTTTCATTATCATACATGTGAGAGGACTTTCATGTGAAGTGGTTAACTCAGGCCAAAAGCTCCGACGTCTACAGGGAAATCCGGCTGTTTTTACCTCTTAACAAACGGAGCCACTCAGCTGAGCGACAATCAGCTAAATCAGCTTCAAAAACATCTCAGGTTCAGGTTTTCAAACCATCAGCTTCTCTGTAGATGCTCAGCAGTCATCAGGTATAGAGCTCCGGACATCACGTGACTCTCAGAGAGTAGACGCCATGTTGGCAGGCAACAAAGGTAAACAAAATGAACGGGATCGGCTTGGATTTTACTTCGTCGGAGTTTACTTCACACTTTAAAACTGAAGAAATCATTTTATATAGTCAGAAATTAAATAGACTAAACATCTCCGACCCTTACTGTGCCCCTGGGATACTTTTTAAAAACGCCAGAAGCTGTCGTAGCGGACTTCTTACCAGACCTGGCCAGGGAACGCCTTGGGATTCCCCTGAAGGAGCTGGCCCAAGTGGCTGGGGAGAGGGAAGTCTGGGCCTCTCGACTTAGGCTACTGCCCCCGCAACCCGACTCCGGATAAGCAGATGAAAATGGATGGATGGACAAATAACATAGACTGTAAGTAGTTTAAATAGAGTGCTGTGCTGTTTGAATGTATAAACTGAACGCCAAGAGAAACCACTAGTCAGATTTTTTTCCGTGAATAAAATAAATATGTCAGGCAGGAGCGTCTCAGGATCTGTCTGAGATCTGTCTTGGTGAGACAGATAATAGCAATCCAAAGTGCTTTTTATGTGTGATCTGACAAGTGATCAACCATTGCTTAAAAAGTAAATACAGCTTAGCCGGTTACTTGCTGTGATCATAAAACACGTAAACGGCAGCACGCAGAAATCACGAGGCAACGTTTTACGTGACGTTTACTTGTTGCTATGAGTAATAAGACAGAAAAAGCCACGCCAAAATAAGTTTAGGAAGCCCACCAAGAATTGTAATAAAAGCATTTAAAATAAATACCATACACAGTTGAGGAAACGTTGGTTTAAGTACCTGATATGAAGTGGTCGCTGCATAAGCAAAAACCTTTACTCTCGGGATCCCACAGTTTCATTTTAGCCCGGAGGCTAGCGCGTTTTATTACAATGATCCAACGTTTGCGGCGCTCCGGATCTTGGGGAATCCTGTAGAGGGCTCATTCCTTATGTCGTCCGCGTCTGTTCTGCATCCTGGGGCACAACAGGAATCTACCACATTTCCCGTTTGATTGAGTTTTCTGACAATAACAAATAGTCCAGCTGCGTGCTTCTGCCTGCCAAGATGGCGCAGTTTCAATTTGAACTGTTGCATGCCGGGAGAAGTGACGTCAACTCCCGGAGCTCTATACCCAATTCACAGCCAGTAAAGAAACAGTTACACTTAAAAGGCTCCAAGAGGTGCATTACGATGTAAACTGGTACCATATGATGTCACAATGTCTTTGTGAGCCTGTGTGTGTGTGTGTGTTTGTTAGTGGCTCCGCCCTCTCGGTTTGCCAGGCAACAGCATTTGTTGCATTTTTCTAACAGGAAGTGGGAGTGTAATAAGACTCTGGTAGGGGGTGACTTGCTCTTTAAAAACACAAAAACCTCCTCCTCATCACTCAGACCCTAGTCACAATTTGGAGAGAAGGTACTTTCCAAAAATTTGGGTTAAACAATTTGTTTCAAAATAATAGAAAGTCTGTAACACGTAACACCAAAGAGCAACCGTAGGAAGGGTTGGAGACCATCTTGAGAATAAAATGAGAGTAAATTAGAATACTGGCATCACATTTATGGTACAAATAGTGAGCCAATATGTTTTATAACAATAAGGCGTTAGTTAAAAAAACACAACAGAAATTTTCCCATAAACAACAACAGGACTTTGACAAAACAGTCTCCATGTGAGACGTGTGTGTGTGTGTGAGAGAGAGAGAGAGAAAGAGTCACCTGGACACTGTAGTGTGTGTCCTCATCCAGGTCCCACAGCACACACCAGCGGCTGGATGTATTCACCTCCCGTATGGAACGCTGCATCAGGCCGTCCTGCCTCTGGAGGACAACACACCAGATGAAACGACAAAATGGTAAATGGCCTTCTAGAGTCCTGGAACCCCTCAAGGCGCTTTACAACGCAATCAGTCATTCACCCTTTCACACACATTCACACACTGGTGGGGATGAGCTACAATGTAGCCACAGCTGCCCTGGGGCGCACTGACAGAGGCGAGGCTGCCGAGCACTGGCGCCACCGGTCCCTCCGACCACCACCAGCAGGCAACGTGGGTTAAGTGTCTTGCCCAAGGACACAACGACAGCGACAGACTGAGCGGGGCTCGAACCTGCAACCTTCAGATTACGGGGCGAGCACTTAACTCCTGTGCCACCGTCGCCGCAAAACAGAAATGAACCAGAAATGCAGCAGAAACCATGAATTTCACTACAGCTGCTTTCAGAAGATGTTGTGGGTTTTTAATAAGAGATGCTTCAGCTGCAATCAGATGATTTTCAGCTTGACTGACGAAGGGCAGATCCAATTCTTTCTTTCTCTGGTCGAGTGAACGCATCGTGGTTGTAGCTGCTCAGCCACATGCAGGCTGACACAGCATCTGCAGGTTTAAGTGGGAGAAAAAAAACACACGTCTAAAGAAAAATGTAATAATACCTATCAGCTTTAGGTTTAGGTCTTCTTTTGTTTTTAATAATTTAATAATTCCATTACTGAGGTCAGGTGTAGAGAGAAGCTTTGTTTGTAAAGCAGGTGAATGGATTTTTAAATGATACTTTTGGTTTGGTAAACAAAGCAAAGATTCACAAAAATGTATTTCTAAGTAATTTGGTAACTAAAAACACAAATTTTTTTCAAAAAGTGAATCCTCATTAAATCTGAAGAAATTAGACCTGAAATCTCTTCAGCAAATATGTTTATGTTTATTCATTTATTAAACGCTTTTATCCAAAGCGACTTACAATTATTATTTTTTTTAATAACTTATAGGGTAGGGATGAGCGAGTACACCACTATCTGTATCTGTATCTGTTCAACCATCTAAATGATCTGTATCTGTACTCTGGAGTGGGCGTGTCCTAACCCGGAAGTGGGTGTGGTTTAACCGGAAGTGGGTGTGGTTTACATCAATACGTTATTTTAAGTCTGATCAGAAGTTGCTATGTGTATCGTTTATTTGAAAACTATTTACAGAGCAGCCTCAGAGTTGAGATGAAATGTTTTTGATCACAATAGTAAAGGAACTATTACAGAACAAGTTTTTCAATAAAATCAGAACATTAATATTTAAGTGCATGAATTAAGAGAGAGAGAGAAGAAAAGATCTTTTCTATAGCGCCTCTCAAGATAAAAATCACGGGGCGCTTCACAAAAACAAAACATGTAAAATAGAAAAAAGAATTTAGAAAATGATTAAAATATATTTAAAATGAGCAAAAAATAGACAATTGTGATTAAAAATGTAAAGAAAGAGAGAGAGTGAATAGGAAAGAGGGAGCGGATCCTGAGGAAGAGGAGAAAGAGAGAGAGGAAATAAAAACCCGACCGGAGCGGAGGCAGTGACTGACGCAGCACGAGCCGTTTTCAGCTCTGTCTTGTTAAATGCACCACGTACGTTACGACTAAAGTAACTTTAAAGTAACTTTAAAAGAAGCAAACCGAAGGAAACCTAGGAAGTACTGAAGAAACGTGAACAGTGAAGCAAGCACAGAGAGCTGTTACTGTCTGTGTGTGTGTGTGTAAGGACCGTACGCAGACTGAGCTGTGAGCTCCCGGCTGCAGAGTTTTGTGTGTAGGGAGGGGCAGGCGCTCTATTTGACTGGCCAATCACAGAGCGAGAAGACAGTCACTTACCCAATGAGGATTTTCCTTCAGCACGATTACAGATATTTACGAGTTATACTCATTGCATGCTCGTACTCGTCAAAAACGCTTTATCTGTACCGGATACGGCTCATCCCTACTATAGGGCATGTTGTGATCTGTGGGGGAAACCGGAGTACCCGGAGGAAACCCACGCATGCATGGGGAGAACACGCAACTCCACACAGAAAGGCCGCAGCCGCGTTCCGAACCTGCAACCTTCGTGCTGCGAGGCAACAGTGCTAACCACTGCGTCACCATGCAAATATTCTTGCCTTGGCCCCCGAAATGCCTAGAAATGGCCCTGGGTGTGAATTGTATCAAATCTAAAAATACTACATGCTTATAAATTATTGCTTTGGAAAGTTAAAAACGTGTGGATAAATCTTACATTTTCCTTTTCAAACACAGTTTTGTTTTCTTATTTTTTAATTTGACTATTTTCCTGTCCTGTCTGTCTCTGATCTTCCTGCATCTCCTCTCAACCCTACAGCACAACTGCTGCCTGGCTTCCTCCTTTTACAACTCGTGAGAAACTTTTTAACTAAGCAGATCAAATGGATCTACAGATGCAAAAAAGTGGAGTGCGCGCTGCCGTGCCCGGTGTCGGTAGCAGATTTGCTCGGGGTCCGGCGCCTGCTGATGACATCACATCACGGCCAATTCACTCAGCTTTTTACAAGTTTTGGAAAGATATCAGCAGTTGTGTTAATAAATTCTTTGTTACACCTAAATGTTTTCTTTAAAATTGTAACTTGTGAATAAAGCACCATATTATTTTTGTTTTGTAAAGAATGTGAAACTGCATATAGTAAGACCAACATCAGACTGCCAAAATAGACAACAGTTCTTATATGTGAAGCCATATCTGTTTGTATTAATGTGGAATTTGTCTGTATATTTCCTTAGTTATGTAAATACATGCATTCAGTCAAAATGTTGCTTACTGTCTTTTCAATAAAGTTATTTTATTTTATATAGACCCATTTAATCAAAATCAAGAGCTTTTGAGGGTCACCGTTTATCAGTTGATATCTTTGCTTTTATTTTAAATGTCCTTTGAAAATTCTAACATTTTCATCAAAAAGTGTTGATTTTGGGACTACAGGACTACAGCCGCCAAGACTACAACCGTGTATTTGTTCTGACCAATCACAATCATCATTGTCAACGTGCTAACGTAACTTTTACAAACGTGGTATCGTAACTTCCGTAAGGCTCAGCCAATCATCTACTATGGCGTATTTGGCAGACGCAGGACCCCGAGCTGATCTGGTACTGACACCTGCCGTGCCAGTGACTTGAGGTGAAGTGTAGGGCTTCCAGGGGAGCCTGTCACCCTTTCAGGTCAGCTGGGCTCCCCTTAGCTCCCGTGTAAGTCGAATCCTGTCCGTGATCCGCCGCCTGTGATCCGCCGCCTGTAATACGCCACCTGTAATACGCCGCCTGTAATACGGCGCCTGTAATACGCCACTTGTAATATGCCGTCTGTGATACGCTGCCTGTAATATGCTGCCTGTAATATGCCGCCTGTAATACGCCGCCTGTAATACGGCGCCTGTAATACACCGCCTGTAATACGCCGCCTATAATACGCCGCCTGTAATACGCCACTTGTAATATGCCGTCTGTGATACGCCGTCTGTAATACGCCGTCTGTAATACGCCGTCTGTAATACGCTGCCTGTAATATGCTGCCTGTAATATGCCGCCTGTAATACGCCGCCTGTAATACAATGTCTGTGATACGCCGCCTGTGATACGATGGCCGTGATACGCCGCCTGTGATACAATGTCTGTGATCCGCCGGCTGTGATACACCTTCTGTAATACGCTGCCTGTAATACGACGCCTGCAATACGCCACCTGTAATACACCACCTGTAATACGCCGCCTGTAATACACCTCCTGTGATCCGCTGGCTGTAATACAATGTCTGTGATACGCCGCCTGTGATACGCCGGCTGTGATACACCGTCTGTAATATGCTGCCTGTAATACGCCGCCTGTAATACAATGTCTGTGATACGCCGCCTGTGATACGATGGCCGTGATACGCCGCCTGTGATACAATGTCTGTGATACGCCGGCTGTGATACACCGTCTGTAATACGCTGCCTGTAATACGACGCCTGCAATACGCCACCTGTAATACACTGCCTGTAATACGCCGCCTGTAATACGCCGCCTGTAATACACCTCCTGTGATACGCTGGCTGTAATACAATGTCTGTGATACGCCGCCTGTGATACAATGTCTGTGATATGCCGCCTGTGATATGCCGCCTGTAATACGCCACCAGTAATCACCGCCTGTAATACACCGCCTGTAATATGCTGCCTGTAATATGCCACCTGCAATACGCCACCTGTAATACGCCACCAGTAATACACCGCCTGTAATACACCGTCTGTAATATGCTGCCTGTAATACGCCACCTGCAATACGCCACCTGTAATACGCCACCAGTAATACACCGCCTGTAATACACCGCCTGTAATACGCCGCCTGTGATTCGCCGCTTGTAATACGCCGCCTGTAATACGCCGCCTGTGATACACCGCCTGTAATACGCCGCCTGTGATACACCGCCTGTAATACGCCGCCTGTGATACGCCGCCTGTGATACGCCGCCTGTGATACGCTGGCTGTGATACGCCGCCTGCAATACACCACCTGTAATACACCGCCTGTAATATGCCTCCTGTAATACGCCTCCTTTGATATGCCGCCTGTGATACGCTGCCTGTGATATGATGGCCGTGATACGCCGCCTGTAATACAATGTCTGTGTTGCCCTGGCTGTGATACGCTGCCTGTGACATGCCGTCTGTAAAATGCCATCTGTAATACAATGTCTGTGATACGCCGGCTGTGATACACAGTCTGTAATACGCTGCCTGTGATACGCCGGCTGTGATACACTGTCTGTAATACGCTGCCTGTAAAATGCCGCCTGTAATACGCCGGCTGTGATACGCCGCCTGTAATATGCGGGCTGTGATACGCTGGCTGTGATACGCCGTCTGTAATACGATGTCTTTGATATGATGTCTGTGATACGCCGGCTGTGATACGCTGCCTGTGATACGCCATCTGTCATACGATGTCTTTGATACGCCGGCTGTGATACACCTGCTGTGATACGCCGCCTGTGATGGTCTCCTCTCCACTCAAACA